TCCATAAACCATAGGTCTAACCATAGCCTCGTTAGTTCTCTCTCTCTCTCTCTGTAGTCTTCCCTTGACTTTACAAACGAATTCGGATTAGCGTATTAATCTGTTCATCCATTTAGCAGATTGATTACGCTCGCCTCTCATTCACGCTTAACAAATCTCACGAATAATATTGTGGTAAATCTAGATAAAGTACATTGTTTGATGTAATAATCAAAATAATTTCGAGATGTATACTATTGTAAAACTTTAAGAAAAATAATAAATATCACGAATTCTTATTATGAATCATGTATTAGCTGTAGTTAGAATTTTTTTTTTTACCACGCCGAAGATGCTTCTTACTTTTCTCTGCTAGTAGAAATTATAGTCTGCGGTGAGTTCGAGGAGACGGTTTTGCTTTTGAAATTTTAACCATGGTATCCCCGTCCAAAGTCGAGTCGTTAGAATCATGAGATTTGTTAACAGACCTAGTAGGAGCGAGAAACGACGAACCTTTCGGGTCCTTTGTCCATTTTTTTTTACTAAGCCTTGCCGACACCACGGTGTGAAATTTCAAAGAGTACCATTCAGTTTTCCGTCATCTCTCCACTTATAATACTTTGCTCTCCGTCATTCGCTAGTTTGTCTCACTCGATTGACTTTAGAGATTTATTATTGAATTTTTAAATACAGTGAAATCAAAGCAAAATTGTTTCACTTACCTACCGTTTTTCATATCCATAATCGTTATTTTTATATTAATTACATTTCTTATCGTAGTTCTAAAATTCCTTTTATATTATTAAAATACGTGCAAGGCGTATTCAATTTATTTCTGCCGGTTGTACTACATCTCTCTGCCATTTGTAATCCATTTATAGATCGTGATGAACGCGATCCACGCGAAACGGTGTTTGCGAGCAAAGTGTCGTTCCGCCGGCTTCATAAAATGCTCCCGCAGCTCCATTCGTTTCAATTGTATCGCGATGGGGTGCACCGCCGTGAAATTAATCGCACAGCGGTGTCTTTGTCTAGTGACGGTGTGCGACCTTTATTATCGCAACACGTTCGAAAGAACAGACGGATCTAATGACCCGAGCCTTGAGAACGGTCTCGCGGACGTGACACTCGCACGCGCCTAATTATTCACTCGCAAGCTGCTGGACAGACGAGTGTATATCTCCCGAAGAAAATCGTTCCCTTTAATTTATTGGTGCGCGTATACAGTACACATAAATCCGAATGTGAGAGAGAATTACGAAAAATTATATAATGATAAAACTATACATTGACACCGTCAATTGAATATTATTCTATTCATATCTCGAATCGTAATTTGTAAATAAATTATTAAAGTAAAATTAAATGAAAATTGACTTGAGAAATGTTTAAAATGGCATTATTCTCTTATTTATTTTGTACTTAAATTATTCGCAAATTTAAGGTCTTATTGACATTAAATTATTAATATTTTTATAAAGAATATGTTATTAGTATTAAAAATTATTAAATTACTTGTTAATTTAACATAAGTTATTATTACTACTATGGTTCTGCTCGTAACTGTGTTTCAAGAGCGAAAAAGATTTCGGCGCGCAGTTTACAGAATCAAATATCTATGATGACTTCACACAGAAATATTTAAGAATGTTTAATATCTATTTTTTTAATTCTAAAAGTTTAACAATAATTTTACAGATTGTTCTTACATATATTTGGAGACTTGTGACAAAATCCAAAGTCGATTCACTGAAGCAATATCTAAAAATTATAAAGATTTCAATTTACAATAATTTTATTTAGTATCTATTTTTAAATATAAGAAATTTAATAAAAATTTTATAGATTGTTATATTATTATAACTGAGTATTTATGTAAAGTTTAAGCAAAATTCTCTTATTATTAAAAGTTATTTAATATTTTTCACTTGAGTTTTATGTAAAATTATGATTTGAGGAAATAATATTAAGAATTAAATCAAATTTGATATATTATGGACTAAAAAATAATAATATTATAAATATTCGTGCAAAAGTTTATCTAGATTTATTTACTCATTTAAAAATTATTGACCTAAAACCGCAGGAAAATATAATCATTTTCCTACATAAAATCATTATAAGTCAAATTGGTTTTTTTATTGGCTTCACGCGGATTAATCATCGTCAAAATTTTTTGAATGATATTGGCTAATATTAGTTATTTTTGATTGATTATTTGATACTAATATATACTAATATATACTTTTAGCTGATATTGTATAGACAATATGTCCTTAAACTCTAAGATTTGTTTTGACTGAAAAAGAAAAGGATTTCTCTTATTTAATTGAATTAATTATTTTAGTATCGAAAGTTGATACTAGATGGAATTATTAGTTTAAAAATATAGATGTAATACTTTAAGGGAAATAAAAGATTATGGTAATAATATGAAACATAAATTATTTTTTTCAAATCTTTTTTAATTTATTTATAAAGTTTACAGCAACAATATGTGTTTGTTGTTATTTTTAATAAATGAATTATATCTGTAGAATTATAACTGTATAGTGATTCTGAGTACAGCATAGATTCAGCAGATGTACGTACGATCGTTGTCAGCTTCCGTGAAACAAATAATAGAATAAAAGATAAAGATAAAGCAGTTACGTAAGTGCGGAAAAGTTGAAACGAAATAGAATACCCACCGATCGCTATATTTCGAGCGAGGAAGAATGCTTCCTGCATTAGGAGCCATGGTCGTAAAGGCGCGATGATCTGTGGGTAGAGGGTGAGCAGTGGCTGGTACCGAGGGGGTTGCAAATTGAATAACAAACGTTCACCCTCCTTGGTTAAATCATCGAAAAAGCCATCCCCCGAGCTTGCACGCTTGCCGCGAGACGTTAACCGCACCCCCCGCGAATTGCTGCGGCGCAACCCCGACGCGACCCTCTCCGACTGCTTTGCATAACGATCTTATTTCGTAATCTCTGCCATATTGATCCAGTTTATGGCGCCGCGCTTGAAAATTGTTTATTGCGGTGTCTCCATCAGGACATGTCGAATCTAACCGCCTCGCAGCACCGCGATATTCGATGAAACACATAATTTTGTCTTTAAATGACAAGTTTAGCGTTTTTGTACTTGTAATTTTTTTTACGGCGCCTTTATATAGATACTTTATTTTAACAATACATCTTTAAGAGTGAAAGATCATTTTTTTCTATAATTGCTTCATTAATATGTTAACGGCAACATATCTATGTTTAAAAACATGCAATTGTTTCGTGACACGAATTATTGCATCTACTGTCATTGTTTGAAGAATATTGCGCATGTTGTAATCAATTATGACCGGTCAGAATGCTCGGGAGAATCAACTTTATAGAAGCTTAATGATCGCGTGACGCGGCTACTCCACTGTTTAGGCCCGAGAGAAGCGAGCCGAGTCATTCTCGCTAATAAGATTGAGGAGCTCGAAGCACACGTATCGGACGCATTTCCGTTGCGCTCGCGAGGCGATGCCAGAACGATGCCCGATGCCGCATAATCAGCGAATCTCTGAACGGAGCGAAGGTCGGAATAAAATCTTTGGAGCAGGAAAATAAAGTGGCACGACAAAGTGGGGGAAGCCTTATGTTATGACGGGACATTTCACGGTTGGTAGGATCTGGGATTTAACGGCCCGTGCGATAATATCGTCCCAGGAGCTCGTGTTCCGCTCGTGCTCCATCGTGTTCTCTGCTCAGTGTCGTTCTCTGTCGGCCTGTTGATACATTGGGGGTATTCCCTAGTGTCAGGTTACACGACTCTTCATCGCGAATATTTAGATCTATGTGTCAAAATTAAAAATCATTATTGGCGGACACGCGACGTTGTACTCAAAGCAATTGTGAATGAACTTACTTTCAATTCGTGTGTAGGAATCACATTTTAGCAGGCGAGGAAGATAAATTATTCCAGGTTGACTCGCGCGCACGGGTTGCACCTTAATAATCAGCGGCAGCAAGAGCGAAGGTTGAGCTAGGAGTTAGAAACTAGTGTGTGGACTGTCTTTTCATAGATTAACAACAAGGAAGTCGACAATTGGGCGGCGGGAACGAGCTTTGTGAATGGAGTGAAAGTCGAATAGAGTCTTCATTATTCACAAAAGCATTATTTATTTCCTTTTTCTCACTTTAAAATGAATTTATAATTTTTATAATAATACAGTAATAAAGAAGAGTTAATAGTAATAATTAATAATTAATAATTAATAATAATTAATAATAATTCATTGATAATAATT